AGTTTATTTTATTCATGCCAAACTTTTTCAACATGATGAAAATACATTGAAGATGCTAAATTGTGAACAGATATTGAATATCTCAAACGGTTTTGCTATGGTTGAGGGATTCAAGTAATGTCAAAAAAAGAATCAGGGCATGTCTCATATCTTTCTAAAATGTAATTATACACCATTTATTTTTATATAAAATTATACAAATATTAGAACTAAACCCATTTTATTCCTTTTTTTCAATTTAAGAATTATTTTTAAGTTTAAAAACAGCCAGAATGGTTGTTTAGTCAAAAATAATAATAATCCAAATCATATATAGTGCTATACTGCCCTCTTGTGTTCAAAATCAGGTAGGCCTATTGAATTTATAAATATTTATATATTAGGGATGTTACTATGGGAATATTTTCCCACCGGTTAATCAACGTGTGATTGTGTAAACCAATTGTGTAAACCTCCCGCTGGGGGGTTTAAAAACACTAACTTGAAAGCAAAAGTATAATATGGACGTCCGCACAGACATTGAAATGGTGGCGCTCGAATGAATTCCTATGGAAGTAGAAATTAACTAAACGTTCGCTCTGTTCTGCTCGCTCGTCGCCATGGACGCGCACCATTATGAATGCCAGTGCAGCCGCATACTTTTTAGTGTCACTAAAATTAGTGCAATTTCGGGGGCCGATTGCTTGAATTGTGAGTTCAATAGTCTATTATTTTTCACGGAAAACACAACAATAAAAGAGTACAATGACAGATTCGCTTAAATAGGCGTTTTTACATAAAATAGCCTATTCCGTCATCATCTTTTCAGTCAGCTCTTCACTCTCGTGATTAATGAAATTTGACTCCTGTTGCTGATATTTGCTGCAACTTTCGTTCAGCTCACAATTTAGTAAGCAAACACGTTTCAAATGTGTTTTTATTTTATTTTTGTGTATGTGTGTGTATATGTATGTATATATATAAATATAGCTTATGTTTCAAATATGAGTTAATTAACAATCGTTGGAAAGAATGATACTTTTAAACATAACACTAAACCGTCATTAGGTGTCGCCAGGCGACCGTCTTAATGAGCGAGTCATTGATTCATTCGTTTGAACGACTGAGTCATTCATGAATGAGATAGATGTTTATGGATTGATTGGTCATTGAATCTTTGAGTCAACCGATTCGTTCAAAATGCTGAATCATTCAGTAATGAGAACGCGTTGCTGTGAGATGCGCGATGGTTCTGCTGTGATCTTTGTTTAACTATTTTCGCTGCTGAAACAGAAAAAAAGTCAATATTGCATGTAAAATGTAAGTGATTTGACTTGTGTGTGTGTGTGTGTGTGATTGTGTGTGTGATTGTGTCTGTTACAGTGATAAGAGTTTAACCCTTGTTAAACTTTAGGCCTTGTCTTTTTGGATATATATCTTTTTATATAAAAAAATAGTCATACAACCCATATATTTTAAATGTATTGTTTGCTTTAAATTACATTAAGATTGTATGTTTGGTAATTGAACCTGAATGAATTTTAAATGAATGTGCTATATTTCAGATCATATATTTGTTTTCCTTAAAATTTGAACTAACACTAACTTTATTCTCATCTGAATGATAGATTATTTATTTCTGTATAAAATAAAAACACATTTGATTTTTCTTTTTTAATCAATGTAGAATGTGTAACTGAAAAAATAAACAGATTAGGGCTCTGTTTGATGACAAGAAATGAAAACCAATGCGATATGATGAATGTCCAAAAGATGGCTCCCACAGACTGTTTTTAAATAGGATTGTTTGATATTTTTTGCTTTTAAACTGTGTGTGTGTGTGTGTGTGTAAGAGATTTTGGTTGGGTGACAGTTGTAGTTTACAGTTTGACAAGAGTTTATAGCTTGACAAAAGCACAATGTTGTGTTTTATTGTGATTGTACACAAATATAAGTAAACACTTTGCAGTTTGAATAATGTCCTGTATGAACAAAAGGACGGAGTATGTTTTTATGTCTACATTGTTCAATTACGCCACACACACACACACACACACAAACACACACACACACACACACACACACACACACACACACACACACACACACACACACACACACACACACACACACACACACACACACACACAAACACTATTTTTCTAATCAGATCAGGCAAGTAATATTCTGTCTTGTCTCTTAAAAAAACAATATATATATATTTATATATATATATACATATATATATATATATATATATATATATATATATATATATATATATATATATATATATATGTGTGTGTGTGTGTGTGTGTGTGTTTGTGTGTTTGTGTGTGTATATATATAAATATAGCTGCGAGCAGCGATGAAAGGGCCAAAGCCGGCGGCACCGCCACCCCGGTTATAGCGCCACCAACTGGCAGCAGGAAGTCTGTCACTTTCAAAAAGCTTTGAAATCACCTGATTGCTTCAAACTTCACTACTATGATGTAAACACACGGCAGATGTAGACCTGGATGTAGACCTGACCTTTCAGAAGGTTGCTCTCGCATACTTTGTGGTTGATATGTGCCCTCAATGCACACTTTTGCAGAGCCCACACTGATACAAGCTCTACAGCACACTTCTTTTCGACAGTCAAAGCAGGGTTACGTTTTTGCACGTCGTGCACAATAACCCTAAAGGCACCAGGGTGGCGGGATTTTTGCCAGGGGATTTTTGATATCTCGAACGGTTTGGCCGTGGCGAGGAAACGAATTTATGGCGAGAAACAACAAACAAGAAGTGCGTTATAACTTCTGCATACATTAACTGATCTTGATGAAACTTCAGCAGTGTGATCGCTGTAAGAGGCCGATCACATGGATGTGACTATTGTGAGTCAAAGTTATAGCGCCACCAACTGGCAGCAGGAAGTGTGTCACTTTCTAAATGCTTTTGACAAAAGTGGGGGGGTTAGTTTTATCTACAGTTACAAAACTCAGCATGTATATTCTTCTCCTCAAGCCAAACAACTTTCTAATTTAAAGTAATTAGCTCCGACCCTCAGAAAGTCAGATATTGTGGTTTGAATAGGGTCATTTTCTCTCTCTCTCTCTCTGAGCCAATATGGCAAGCCGCTTTAACATTTAATCATTTTAACCTACTAGTCTCTATTTTCATGCTACTAGTACTTATTTTTAGATACTAGTATCTATTCCATTAAGTACTGGTACTTATTCATTAGCGACTAGTGCCTATTCTTTAGATACTAGTGCTTATTCTTTAGATATTCTTTTGAATACGTATTAGTAGCTAATGAATAAGTACTGGTATCTATTTAATAGGTACTAGTATCTAATGACTTAGTACTAGTATTTATTGAATAAATACTAGTATCTATTAATAGGTACTAGTATCTAAAAGGTCATTTTCTCTTTCTCTCTCTCTGAGCCAATATGGCAAGCCGTTTTAACATTTAATCATTTTAACCTACTAGTCTCTATTTTCATGCTACTAGTACTTATTTTTTAGATACTAGTATCTATTCCATTAAGTACTAGTACTTATTCATTAGCGACTAGTGCTTATTCTGTTTAGAATATTCAAAGTGCTTATTCAATTTTTTTGCTTATTTATATTTTCAGAGCAGAAAATCCGATTTTTCTGCTTATTCAATATTGCATCTAAAAATGTAAGTGACTTGACGTGTGTGTGTGTGTGTGAGAGAGAGAGATGTGTCTGTTACAGTGACAAGAGTTTAACCCTTTAAGGCCTTGTCTTTTTGGATATATATTTTTTTTATTAAAAAAAATGTGCATACAACCCATATATTTTAAATGTATTGTTTGCTTTAAATTAAATTAAGATTGTATGTTTGGTAATTGAACCTAAATAAATTTTAAATTAATGTGCTATATTTCAGATCAATATATTTGTTTTCCTTCATTTTAATCAACACTAACTTTATTCTCATCTGAATTATAAAGAATTTATTTCTGTATAAAATAAAAAATCCCGAATAATCCAGACCAACCAGAGCGCACTATTTCTACAACATCATCAGTGCTGAAGCGAAACTACCAGAGCCGTTCGGCAGATAGCAAGCAGATATTTTGTGTCACGTCGTGCACAATAACCCTAAAGGCACCAGGGTGGCGGTGCCACCGGCTCTATATATATATATATATATATAAATATATATATATATATATATAAATATAGCTGCGAGCAGCGATGAAGGGCCCAAGCCGGCGGCACCGCCACCCTGGTGCCTTTAGGTAACTAAAGGCACCGGGGTTGCGGTGCCACCGGCTTGGGCCCGTAATCGCTGCTCGCAGCTATATTTTTTGTTGTTTTTTGTGCACACAAAAAGTATTCTCATTGCTTGATAAGTTCTCAATTTAAGCCGGCAAGTTTCAATCCCTTAGAAGCCTATGGAGGAGTGATCCAGCTCTCGGATTTAATCAAAAATATCTTAATTTGTGTTCTGAAGATGAGCGAAAGTCTTACGGGGTTGGAACAACATGAGGGTGAGTAATTACTGACACCATTTTAATTTTTGGGTGAACTATCCCTTTAAGTGTAAAGCGCAACTTATGCGAGTAATGCGACGTCCAGCTGATATTTACGCTACGCCTTGACGCACTACACTACTTCTGACGTCACAAGTTGCGCTTAAGGTGTAAGTAGTGTAAGCTAGAATTTTACTTTGTAACGTGTTAATATGAATATTTTTCTTACACAAACTCATCGTTTTGCTTTGGAAGGCCTTTATTAACCCACAGGAGCTGTTTGGAGTTCGTTTATGACGGATGGATGCACGTTTTTGGGCTTCAATCTGTTGGTTGCAATCCACTGCCATTATAAAACTAGGAAGAGCCAGGATATTTTTTAATATAACTCGTCTGATTGTATTCGTCTGAAAGAAGAAAGTCATTTACACCTAGGATGGCTTGAGGGTGAGTAAATCATTTTCATTTGAAAGTGAACTTCTCCTTTAATGCCTCTCCCTCCTACAATCCTTCTCTCTCTCTTACGCATTTATATGACGCTGTCTCATCCTGAGTTCTCTCAAATGTTTGAGAACGTTTGCAGTCGGTTTCTGCAGACCTTGATCTCTCTTCCTTTTACCCATCAGCTGTGACGGGTGCGGCAGGTTCTCATGGGTCAGGCCTACGTTCAGTCCTTTACGTCTGCTCGCCTGAAAGAAAGAGTTTACAGCAGCTGATGTGATGTTACCGTAGTAAAGTGATGGTTATTCCTTTCCAGAGTTCTTCAATCCGTGTGAAAATGAAGTGTGCTTAATTGTATTAAAAGTGAACTTATAGTGTACTTTAAATACAAGAATCTAAAACAACCAGATGCACTTTATTTTAAGGTGTCCGTTTTACAGTGTAAAGTACTAATAGGAATTAAATGTACTTATAGGGATAGGGTTAGGATTAGGGTGTGGTTTAGTGTTAGTTGCATGTAATTATACACAATTTATTACTACAGTAACTACATGTAACGTGTAAGAAGAACACTGTAAAATAAAGTGTTACCAAAAAAAACTGTATTTGCAAATAATAATTAAAAACTTTAGACCACTTAAGTGTACTTTCATGACACTTTTAAGTGTTAAGTGCACTTTGTAATAATGTCAAATTAAAAGTTTTACTTTAAAGTACATTTTAAATAATAATTTTCTAATAATAATTTTGTCGTACTTTAAAGAAGTACACTTATTTTGGTGTGTTGTTGACTAAACCACGTGCAAAATATTTAAATATAATTTTAACTGTAGTGTTATTTTAAATTAAATGTACTAAATTGGAACTTCATCATTACCAATATATTTTTAAAAAAGACATATAAGTTTAGTTAGCCATAAATGCTTGTCATTATGAAATTACACATAAAGATGAACTTAATTCCTATTTAAGTGTCACTCTAAAGTTCAGCTATAGCTGCATTTAATATACATTTAAACTATAAAACATTTTCATTTATTTGCAAAGTGTCCGAGAACATTACATTCAGTTCACACTTAAGTATATACAATAATATAGGTTATTTCCATTATAAGTACACTTTTTAAAACTATACTTACGTGAACTTTTTCATAAAGAAAGGTAGTTCAAATATACCATGGGATGACTAGAATTGCATCATGTCAAAGTAAAGTGATACATTTGGAGTCGTGCCGGTGGAAAAGGAAAGTCATTTCAGTCTTGCTTTATCTTTCCTCAAAGAAAGAAAAACCAAAACAAACCTTTCTATGGAATATATCCGGCCTATGATTCCCCCCAGCAAAATGACATCAGGGACACATTTTAAGGGAACAAATAGGGAAAAGTTTGTCTAACGATGACTTTAAATAAAGATGTTACAGGTGCATCATCTGACTTCTAGTTACTCACCATCCCAGCGTGTGAAGTGGAATACAGGCCTGGATCAAGAAAGGGTTCATATCTGAACGACTCCTCCTCCCTACCAACAACAACCATACAAACACAGTCAAATGTTCAAAGCTTTTTTAAAACACTTTTCCACTGAGATAAGGCTATTATTGAATGAACAGTTTTACCATGGCAGTGGCACATCTAGTCTCCAGTGAGGCTCGTCATATTGAGGTTGCACGGGTACATGTAACACACTCTCCTCACGGTGGCGATTCACTTCCTTTGATCGCCTGTAGATGGCAAAATAACATTACTATGCCCAGAAATAACATGTTGGTTCAGAAAAAAATTGGTTTAGAAACAATTTTTTACTCAGAAATTGCCCGTAAATTGTGTTATAAAGAAATGGCAGGTAACACATTACATTAAACGTGAAATTTTGAAGTAAAAAACAGAAATTTTCTTGTAAAAACGTACTTCAATAATGTGTTTTATGTAGAACTTCGAAAAATATTGTTTTACAGTGCATGTTGCTTTATTTACTGACACATTTGACAGAAACTCTTACTTTGCGAAAGGCGGAAATAGGTCAAAATCCTTCTCTTCAGTTTGCGGTGACAGACATTTCGTGGTCCACATCTCTTTTAGCCGTGTAGCAAGAAAGAAAAAACTTAGTTAATCTTAAACTAAACGTATATTTTATTAGTTTATTATATATAAGCGATATAAGGCTGAAATAGGTTAGCTTATGTGGAATATGAGACCTAAACTATGTTGAAATTATCTCTTAGGAAAATGATAGACTTTTATTTCGCGCTAACTTACTGACATCACGACTGCGCGTGAGAGGGCGCTATACACCTTTATATGTATCTTTTACAGTGATATATATAATTAGCCATAGCAAATGGTTTTTATTTATTATGTATTTATTTTAATTAAATTAGAAAGATGTTCTAATTTAGAAGCAGAAGAACAGGACTTTTAATTAGCCAGAGAAAAAGATTTGTATTTATTTATTTATTTATTTATTTATTTCAATTAAATTAGAAGGATGTAGCAGACGAACAGGACTTTTAATTAGCCAAAGAAAATAGCTATTTATTTATTTAAAATAAAACCAGAAAGATGTAGAAGACGAATATGACTTTTAATCAGCCAAAGAAAATGGGTTTTTATTTATTTATTTAAAATAAAATCAGAAAGATGCAGCAGACGAATAGGACTTTTAATCAGCCAAAGAAAATGGGTTTTATTTATTTATTTCAGTTCAATTAGAAAAGATGTAGCAGACGAGCAGGACTTTTAACTGCTCTCTGAGTCTGCTCACGTCATGCTCTGATCTTTGGGAAGAGTGACGGCAGGGCTCTAAACTTTCACATACCGGCGATACTTTAATTCATCTGTCTTCATCTAGTAAGATATGTCAGTGTCCTTAAGGGTACAAAAAAGTTTTGTTATCATTCACAATATTGTTAGATTTCGTTGACGAGAACGCGTCTCCTGGTTTTAAAGCTTTTTTTTTGTTTCAAGTGCGGAGATTTAGGATAGCCACACGTTAAATGGACGCATGCGGATCGCGTTTATATATGTGAGTGTAATAAACAACTTTTCAGTGCAGGGAAGAAAACGAAGAATTACCTTTCTGCTTCTTTTGGACATTTGTCGTATTGGCTTTTGTGTGTACGGATTCCAGTGAACGGAAAAACTTCCACCCAAGTTTTCCTGCTGTTGGTCGTCGTGTGATCCAGCAGGTGGAGAAACACGAGCCGCTGTTTCATCAGGGAGAAAAACACTGGAATCGAATTAAAAATAAATCCGTTTTCTTCTGAAACTCCCTCTGGATTTAATTTCACGACTTGGTGGCTTGAATAAGCAACTACCCAGAACTGGTAAGTGGTAAATGTCTTTATTTCAGCGAACACACAAGTAACGTTACACATTTACAAACACTCAAGGTTGTTTCGTTATAGCCTATGTTTATGTAACGTTACATGATGTTCCCGTTTCATTATTATTATTCATACTGATTTTGAACCTTTCTCATATCTTTCACTTTATTGTTCAGAATGTAAGTGTATCCAGTATATTTGATTACATTAGAATTAGTTCTAAATTCGCGTTCAGTTTGTCCAAAAGTTGTGTATATGACTCAAATATGACTTGATTTTCCATCCTGTAAGAATGTGTTTATTCTTCTCTCTCATTCTCATGTATGACCTCTACTTGTATTGTATTAGAATAATGTAAAGGAAATCACAGTGAGAGTGAACATCCTCACATATTTTCCTTTTGAAGTCATACAGGGGCATTTGATCCTATTGAAGGGTCATAGTTCAAGTGTTTATCTAGTTTTTGTTTGACATTATATTATAAATCGTATAAGAGAAGAACTTACACTGAGATCCATTAGATTGTCCCTGAATTATTTTGAACAGACAGAAAGATGATTTGTGGCTTCTTGAATTCATGAATAAACCTGTTGAGTTACTTTACAGGTGTCTGGGGTAATTAGTTTCATTCATGCTTGCTGGCTCCAGGCTCTGCTTGATTGATTTGACTAGTTTGGACATAGTAAAACCATGATATTCCTTGGAGTACCATGTAAATATTGTGGTGTATGAATTTTCAGTACCGTATACATAATATATTTAGTCTCTGCACCAGGTTCATACAGACCTTTTGTACGGACGGATTGGTTGTGGCCTTGACATCGCTGAGGTTTTGAGAGGGAAACAATATTTTCTTATCTTAGTTTCGGTTCAGGTGTATTGATGAACTTTATTTGACCCTTTTATTTGTTAATGTGTCTCTCCTTCTTAGCTGTAACGTGTTGTGTCTGGCTTGCTTGCTCTGATACTCTATTTGTTCTCTCAGCCTCTTCTCTGGCACTTTAATTGAAGACTGGGTTTGCATGCCTGCAGCTGCTTGTCTTTAGGGACTTTACACACACACACACACACTTACAGACCAGACCAACATTCCTCAGTCTCGGAAAGGTATGCTGTCTGTCTCTGTCTTTCTCATTTTCGCTGTCCATCTCTCTTTTGTCTCATTCTTTCTCTCTTATGGCTCGTGTCCAAAACGTAGAATCTGTCTGGAAGTTAATTATATGAGTTGCTCCGTCTCTAACGTGGCATAGTTTAGTTCTTGCACACACACATAGCTTAGATGAAAGGTTTAGGAATATAAACTTAGTGGTAGGGTGTAAGTTTGGGAAGAAGGGTGGCATATGTTGCATTCCCAGGTTAATGTTATTGTGCCGCGCTTCACTCTGAAACACTTATGGTTTAATTAGCAAAAAAAAGTTAAGACAAAAAATTCATAATGAATGACGATTATTTTGGTCTGTATTGTCAGTGAGTGAGATCAACACGATTAGGAGTGGGCGATATGACCAAATTAAAAAAACAAAATATATCAATTAAATTTTTCTGGAAATAAGGTTACTGTGATTTAATTTAAAAATTTTAGATACCAGGGAAATTTCATAATTCTTGATCCCAATTTCAATAACACTGCAGAAAATATTACAGAAAAATTTTGGTCTGTTTTTCACACAAACCTATTGTATGACTTCAGAAGAGCTTTAATATAGCTTGAGAGTCATATAGTTTGCATTTGAAACTTTAATGGCTTTTTAAAAAAAAGCTTGACATGCCAAATCTCCAAATATTTTCTTTCTATGGTAAAGAGCAGCATGGACATTCTGCTTATTTATTTATTGTTTATTTGAATAGGGACAGATACAAAAAAAACATAGATTATTACATAAAGAACAATCCGATGCCTGTATCACAGTGTTTATAGCCAAGGCTAATTCGCAACACCTAATTAACACTTAATATCTCTTGTTGTGTTCCAGAAAGAAAGATGAGAGTGAGTAGATGACAGAAGTTTGATGTTTGTATGAACTTCCCCTTTAAATGGATAATAACAAAGTTCAGAATTGACAGAGGAAGATTTGGTCTTAGATCAGCATTTTTCTTTTATCAGTGTGCGCTCAGAGAGGGCTGTGTTAGCAGCTGTGCATTGTGCTGTGATTCGATTCTCTGCTCCAGATTTCTACCCTTATGACTAAAATGTGACCAGCATTAAAGTGCCAGACGTTGCAGAGACACTGTGCTAGAGAGGAAAGAGAAAGTGAGTAAAAGGGCATGACGAGCACCCTTGTTGCACTTGATTTTGGCATGAGTGTTTTTAAAGAGAATCCTTTTTCAGGGATTGATTTTTATTGATTTTTACCACAAAACTATCACCAGCCAGTGCCATTTTTGCCGCTGTCATCACAAAAAATACATCACTGAAAATATTAGAGCCGGTCACCTATATCATGGGGGAAGATGTTGCAATCATGTGACCAGCCGGACCACATAGCAGAACCGCAGTGCCAGAAGCTTCAGACAAGCAGCAACAGCTTATACACGTGTTTTTCTTTTATTAGGTATGAGCTATTTTCACATGGATTTTGATATTTAAGAACGATAATTTTAAATGAAGTAATTTGTGCAATGAGCAATATTTTAAACTATTGCCTTTTAATCATGTTTAAGGTTAATGAATACAAACACAGTTTTTCATTGTTAGTTCAACGATATACAACTACTTTTTAATTTATTTAAAATGTATATTATTAACTGCGTAACCGTGTTGTGAAGTGTTTCCTTTGACTGTAATATTATGTTCATGTCATTACAATCATCATACAATCTCATCCCAAGCCTTTTTGACATTCTGCCCCAATTATACAAACATTATGGACACTTTCTATCCCCTTTTTACAACCTACCAGAAAGTCCTGTCACGAGCAAAGAGCCTCCGGCAGGACAGAGCTACCAACTATACGCCTAGAGACCTGATATAAATATTAGAAGATTAAAGATTTTTATTGCTATGTTTATTTTCATGTATAAAAAATATTAATTATAATTATTTATTTGTATTGTATAGTGTTATGAATGCTTTGGCAATATAAAGATTTGTTTCACCATGCCAATAAAGCTATTTGAATCTTGAATCTTGAGAGAGAGAGAGAGAAACATCAACATAATTCAACAATTCAGTTCAGACATTCAAAAGTAAAAGAAATAGTGAAAATAACCCAAAAAGAATACATACACAATTGGCAGATAAAAGTCACACAATTAAATAAACTAAAATACTTCCACAAAATAAAGTCTGATTATAAATTAGCACCATACCTAAACCCTGGTTCACACGGAACGATTTTAAAATTGTCGGCCGATTTTCCAAACCTGAGAGACCCCAAACACAGCGATTAAAACAATCACGGTGTTGCCACATGTCGACGAGTTGCTCCTCCATCTCCGACGTCCACTGGACTTTCTGGTGCGCCATGCCGCCGGCTGTTTTGATTTTGTTTCGCGGTGCTTCCTCGGCGCCTCGCTTTCTGATTGGCTACAGTCCACAGGCTGCGTGCTCGTTTGTCCCCGGGGGACACCACACATGAGGAGAAATCGGGCCAAAAAATTAAACATGTTTGATATCCCCAATTTGAGATCGGAGCGGTCCCGACGTCCTTCCGAACAGACGAGAGCAGTCTTAACACACCACACACGGCAGGAATATCTGATCAGATTATTTTACGATAATTGGAGTATCCTTAAGATTGTCGGAAGGGGTAAATCTGGGCTAGAATCGGCCTAATTATCCTGCCGTGTGAACCAGGCTTAAAGGAGAACTCCGGCGCAAAATGAACCTTTGGTCTAATTACACATTGTTACCTAGTCAACCGTTATCTGAGATTTGTTTTCATGATTATCGAATGTAAATAGTTTTATCTCTAAAAACAGTTTAGCCTATAACGCTAGTATAACGCTAGTATATTGGGCATAGTGTAATGACAAATAAAAATCGCTTGTTAATACCACTAACAAGGCTCAAAATAGCCCCACACTAACACGGCAGCATAATGAGGGTCCCTACCTTCAAACCGAAGCATTGAGAACTTTGTCAGTGTCCAGACAGTTTAATAAGAAGATATTTTAAACATACAGTCAACTTCGCGTATACAGGCACAAGCCATCTTTGAAATACAGTCTTTACCAGTCGATCTACGAACGCCGATCCAAGCCTGCTGTTCGCGCTCACCTTATCACAACTTATAGCTCGTTCACATCTCACCAGCGCACTTGGATCGGCGTTCGTAGATCGACTGGTAAAGACTGTATTTCAAAGATGGCTTCTGCCTGTATACGCGAAGTTGACTGTATGTTTAAAATATCTTCTTATTAAACTGTCTGGACACTGACAAAGTTCTCAATGCTTCGGTTTGAAGGTAGGGACCCTCATTATGCTACCGTGTTAGTGTGGGGCTATTTTGAGCCTTGTTAGCGGTATTAACAAGCGATTTTTATTTGTCATTACACTATGCCCAATATACTAGCGTTATAGGCTAAACTGTTTTTAGAGATAAAACTATTTACATTCGATAATCATGAAAACAAATCTCAGATAACGGTTGACTAGGTAACAATGTGTAATTAGACCAAAGGTTCATTTTGCGCCGGAGTTCTCCTTTAAGCAATATTAGTAATTATGGTCAGAGAAAGCTCATGACAAGGTACCGCATTAGTGACCACAGTCTGTGTGTGGAGACGGGCCGACACAAGCAGAGCTGGAGAGCCAGACAGCTCACACTGCCCTGATGGAGTCGTAGAGGACGAGCTAGAGAGAGAGAGAGAGCTTGCAAATCAAAAACACAGACAACCAGACGATTCAGATTTACGTCTTCATTATTGTGAGGAGCTTAAAAAATATATAAAAATACACTCGGAAAGAAGAAAGAACAGTACATCCAAAATCAGCTCAAAACTATTGAAGAATCTGTCCAGAGTTTCTGGGACAACTGGAATCTCCTGAATAAACATGAAACATGAACAAATTACTATACAAGATGGAGACACCTGGAAAAATCACTTTGAACAACTTTATAGGAAATTAGACATGAATATAAAACAAACACAAATATATGAAACCTTAAACCATATAGAAAACATTGGAAAACACCAAAATCTGCTAGATTACCCCTTCACAGAAAAAGACCTGATGGATAAAATACAGGCTCTGCCAAAAAAAAAGGCAAGAGGACCAGACGGCATCCTTAACGAAATGCTTAAAAATATAAACCCCAAATTCAAATCGGCCATAATGAAACTGTTCAACTTGGTTCTGAGTGTTGGTCATTTCCCTGGCACCTGAAATAGAGGACTAATAACGCCCATATTCAAGAGTGGAGACAAATCAGACCCGAACAATTACAGAGGCATCTGTGTGAGCAGTAATCTGGGAAAGATGTTCTGCAGCATCATCAACACAATGGCCCTGACCATTAACCCAACTAAAACAAAAGAACCAACGTTTCAGAAAAGAGAAAAGACCCAAATGTTCACCCTTGGTATGACCAAAATTGATCATATCAAAAGCTACACATACCTCGGGCTGAAAATAAGTGCAACTGGAAATCTAAATTTGGCTGTGAATGAACTGAAAGAGAAAGCAAGAAGGGCCTTCTATGCCATCAACAAATCTATCCAAATTGAAATACCAATCAGAATCTGGCTCAAAATATTCCAATCAGTCATAGAGCCAATTGCATTTTATCACTAAATCACGAATTTGACAAATGGGACAAAAATCTGATTGAAACCATGCATGCCGAGTTCTGTAAGAGTATCCTGAGAGTACAGAGGAACACACCGAACAACGCAGGCAGGGCAGAATTAGGCCAATACCCTCTATTAATACATGTTGAGAGACGAGCCATCGCATTTTGGAAACATCTAAAAATGAGTGACCCCCAACTCTTATCATTTTAAAACCCTTAAAAACCATGAAATGAACACCCCCTCCTTCAGCTGGTCCTGAGGCTCCACACACAGAGACTAACACCACTAACCATCCTCCGCCTCAGGACACGGACACCCTCAGCCACACAATCCGGCCCAACCACATTATAAAAGCACAACAAGATAATTACCTGACCTATTGGACTGAAACAACAAAAAAACAAAGTAAACTTGAATGTTATTTGGCCCTAAATAGAGACTAAACAACCGCAGAATACCTGAGTACAGTGAAAGACTGTAATTAAAGCAACACCAAGTAACTTGTCGCCCTACAGGTCAGAAGTGGAATTGTCCGTTACCGCTGTCGTAAATAATTTAGCCCACCGCTTCCTACTGTCGCACGCGCGCTCGCTGTTTATCCAGCACCGGCTTTGGAATGAACGATGTCCACAGACAAGGTAGAGTATGTTGCATGATCTCATGAAAGTATGATGTATTGCGGCATCAGAAACGAAGAAAAACTAAATAATGACTATTGTAATGCTTGACGTAAAGCAAGTCAAATTTGTAGTTTTCTTATGTCTCATTAGAACTACAGACACTCGACCCGATCTGGCAATCTTACATAGCGTGGTTATAGCAGATATAGGAGCGCAAAGCGGAGGCATAAGTGCCTTTCACCCTGTTACGACTTAATGAACCACTGAAACCATTTTGGAAACATTATTTTAAGGTAAAAAATCTTATAGTGTTGCTTTAAGAAGGATGACGTGGTACAGACTGAGCAATCACACTCTGACTGTAGAGACGGGCAGATACAGACTGAACTGCTGCCCAGAGAGAGAGAGTGTGTGTGTGTGTGTGTGTGTGTGTGTGTGTGTGTGTGTGTGTGTGATATACAGACAGAACTGCTGCCCAGAGAGAGACGCGTCTGCCCGTACTGTGACCAGGGACACTTCCTCACCAGCTGCCTCAACTATGAGGACATTAGAGGGACTTTTTATACAAAATTTCAAATACTTTGCCCTAACTTCATAAAATGAAACAACAAACTCTGTACTTTCTTTTTTTAAATTATTTTTATTGTGATATGTATAATATGGAATTGTTTTTTTTTTTTTATTATTTATCTATATGTTTGTATATGTCTATTGCTTTGGCAATATTGTGGTATTTTACACAGTCATGCCAATAAAGCTCATTTGAATAGAGAGAGTGAGAGTTATTTACCCTAGTACTATTTTACTGGTGAAATGGTCAGAGCAGGACTGACAACACGCGAGTGTGTGTCCCCATACTGTATGTGTGTGCTTTTGACTGGGAGAGAGTGCGAGAAAAAGAGCTTTTACATAATATATAATAAATGCATTAAACATATTAAAACGTAATTTTGTGGCAAAAAAAACCAACAACTTAAGTAATTTGTCATTTTTATCATATTGTTTACTATTTTTCTTTGCTTTGCGAGTGCCGTTGTGGGTTTTGGTTCTGTTGGCTGTAAAGACCTTTAAAATAACTGGAATCTCAGTTCTCTCAGTGAAATCATTTCTCTATATGAAAACCAATAAGATATTTTTTAAAAAAAAAGCTAAAATAATAATTTAAAAAACGTATAAACAGATCATGATTTAAAAAACGTCACCTTTATACATCAAATAATCTTAAACTTAAATTGAGCTAATTTATATTCATAAACAATAAATGCAAAGCATACTGAAACTTCATCGCAAAAATCCATTTTACAACACCCATCCGAAAAGTAATCAAACTGACCACAGGAAAGTATTCTATTCAATAAAGTAGGACAACAAATTCAATAATAATATGAGAAAGATTCAAATAATACGTGCACAGATTTAAAAAAAAACTCCTCGTCACCACATCATGACAGAAATATTACAGACAACTCTCTGTACACACACTTCTTCTATGATAAGCATGGCAATTAATTTCTCTTTTGAGAGGGGCATCAAGTAAAAATGTGGTGATGCATCTGTCCTGTTATCATAATGAAGTAAAAAGCCTCATTAAAGGAATGAAAGTTTAAAAATATTTTTTTGTACTCCAATCAAATTAATGTGAAAAGGTGACCCAAGTATTGAGAAATGTGTCCTATAATGATCGTACAAAACAAAGCAAAACAATATTAGGTCCAGAAACTGGATATGTAATCATTTGAGGAGGAGATCTGCATACATGTAAGCGGACTAACAGAAGTATGGCACGATCTGCAGTGTGTAATCTGATTTGAGTGTATGAGTCAGGAGAGTGAAACGTTAGACGTGCTGCTCGGCTGAGAGACACGCAGTCGCAGAAGCCAGCGATATGTGTGTAATGTAGACTATGAGTGTTATGCGGGCGCTGTGGCACAGTGGCAGAGAGTGTGTTTGTGTTGTCTGAGCTAAAGGGTGTAGCTCTGTTCCTGTTGCTTGATTGATTGTAATGCAGATCTTCGAGTGTTTTTGTTCAGGATCCAGAAATCACTGCCTCTACATGATTCATTTACTAATTGTACTTGAGCTTTTTCCTTCACTCATCCTATTTTGTGTA